CAAACCAGTCATTAAATAATTTTAGCACTTCAGAAGTACGTTTCCACTCTGTATTAACCATTAAATTATTTTGCCCACACCATTCAATAGCTACAGTATTTTTGTTAGAAAATAATTGAGCTGCTAACTTTACTTTTTGTCTTTGTGTTCCTTTGTCATCAAGATGTGCTCGACTTAATTTGTGACTTATCTTTAAGTCTCCTTCATTTAATGATAACAATTTTTCTAAACATGTTTTATCAATTAATGTTTCTTTGCTTCGGAATCCAGAATCTATAAAATTATTTCTGGCTAGTTTCAGTAAATGTGGGACGTCTGCATAAAAAAATATTCGCAGGGAATCGTTCGCAGGGTGTATAATAAAGCATTGCTTCTCAACATCATTATTTTTGGAATTATGAGGATTATTAATACCAATATTTAATTCCCTCCATAACTTCATATTACTTGGACCCATGTCACATGTAACCGCCACAACAATATAATCAGTTTCATAAAGATATTTTATGATCTTTAATAAAATATCACAGGACATTGCTGTATCAAAATCATAATATACAGGTTGCCTCCAATTTTTAAACAACCCTCGAGCCATTACAAATTGACAGGTCGTATGTGGGCCATATACTTTCTGTTGCTTTCGTTCTATATCTAATTTGTTTGATATGTATAATTCATCAAAAGTTAGAACAGTTAATTTTTCTATTGTTGAAAGATTCCGTCCAATAGTTAACATAATATTGATAGAGTCATGCAAAATACCAGGTAAAACGTTAAAATTAGCAACCCAATTTTGTAAGGTTGTTGCACATGGTAATGGTATTTTTTTAATGTTTTTTAAATATCTGTAAGCTTTTGGACTTAAAGATCTTAATGAAATGGCCGATATAATATCCTCAGGGCACCATTTTACAAAGCTCTTTGTCGGAAACATTAACATTTTAATTTGCCCAGGTGTGAATACTTTTTGCATAGTTTTTATGGCTATTGCTTCAGCTTCTATGTGATTATTTTTTGCCATTTTTGTTACTTCTGCTTGTAATTTCATTACTTTTTTATTCAAATCTTGATTTTTTTCCTCAAGATTCAAATTTTTTTCTAATAATTTTTGTTTCTCTTCCTCTGATTTATTCAGTTGTTGTAATAATGTTTCTATTGAAACATTTAAATTATTACTAATCTCGTGGCTTCTGTAAAACGCATAATTATACCAAACATATATAAACATATGAATAAATTGAATATAAGAAAGAGCTACTAAATAATAATTAATAAAATATTGCTACATACATCATTTGTTCTGTCACTTCATTTTGCTCTTTAATTTCCAGTACTTCCATATTTACATGTTGTTTCATATTCGAAAGTTGTCCCATATTTACAGTTTGTCCCATATTTACAGTTTGTCCCACATTTACAGTTTGTCCCATATTTATAGTTTGTTCCATATTTATAGGTTGTTCAATATTTACATTTTTATTTGCAACATTTGTTTCTAAATTTTTATTTTTATCAAAAAGTTGATTTTCATGTGCATATTGTACAAGTTCTTTATATGTTGGTAAAATGAAACTTTGTTCTGAAAATATAAAGTTATTAATTTTTATTTGCAAACACACACGCACACACACGCATATGTAAAATTAAAGTATTTAAAAATCTAGAAAATACCTACAGTACTTTGCTTCTTTTTTCATTATCTTCTTTACTCTGTAACATTCGTTTCCTTTTTTTTTTCTAAAAATAACATTTTAGATGGAACAGATTCCTTTTTCAATTTTAAAATTTCTTTGACTGGTGTGTTTTTTGATCGTGGTTGTGTCTTTACCCATTCAAAGCAATCTTCGTTGAAATGGAGACTACATACCCTTGCTATAAGTATTTTATAATATATTTCAATATGTATATTTAATAAGTTGGAAAAATTAAATCAATATTATAGTAAATAATATTATAGTAAATAATATTAAGTATTTGTTAATTTCAAAATTATGTAATATTAATATATAATATATTATTGTTACTCAATGTAAAATAATAGAATTAATAAATATAACAATTATTTTAATTTACCCGAATCAATTTTCATATCAGTTTCCTTTTTTTTGACAGGCCTTAAGCCACTGCTCACGAAGAGTAACATTATTTGGAGAACTAAAATATTTTAGTCCCTTAGTACCATTGTCGTATGTACGACTGGTACAATTTTTTACACAACACGTGGGCATTGTTCCTATAAATAAAGAATATGTAATATATAAAATTGATATATTTGGCATGATTTGAATTGTTATATAATATTTGCGAATGTATCGTACGTTCTTTGAAAATAAAGCAGCGAACAATTCACGACGTCGACTACGGCGTAAGAGTTAACCTAATCAGGCCCACGTCCCGTATCATAGATGCAGCCATATTGCTTTTTGCACTTTGGACAGATTTCTGATTGGCTGAAAATCGGTTACTGCGCATCCTTCTACTTGGTTCACCTGTCTTATTACACCATGGTCTGTTTATCAGCCCGAGTCTTCGTTGACAAGCAAATTTACGTGAAGCAAATCTACGTGTTGAAAAAATGTAAGTTTTTAACTTTTTTTCCGATTTTAGTACTAATCTATTGCACCACGACAGAATTTTGCATCTATTTTAACCCTGTAAAAGGATTTTTTATTTCGTTAAGTAAATTCGGAGATGTAAATTGATCTGCAAAATACCGACAATTTGGCCACTCCTGCGTCCCCTTAAATTACTTTCTATTTTATGATTTCAAAGTCTTACAAATAACGGAAATGACAAACATATACTTTATTTAGAATATACTCTATATTTTATTTAAACTTTTTGTTTATATATACTGTTATATATATATAGATTTCAACCTATCAAACATTAGATACATTAAAATATACGGTTTTTGTTAGATTGAAATCATATATAATGTAAATAATATATACAAACAAAACTTTTAAGTAAAATATAGAGTATGTTCTAAATGAAGTATATGTTTGAGTCTAAGTCTGAGACTTAACTTCAAAAAATTTAAATAAAAAGTTAATAGTTATCGATAAAATGTAACTAAATAAAGTTAAAAAGTTAAGAGTGTAAAATGAAACTAAGTTAAAGAATTGAAAAGAGTAAGGGCACTAGGAGTCGGGCGCAGAAGACGTCGCGCAAATAATACACTTATAAAGAATGAAACTTCTTTATTCACTAAACGCGCTTACAT